GGGCTGGGTCAGGCCCTGCCAGCCCCTGGCCTTGCTGTGAGGAGGGTGAGGAACCACGGCCCAGCTTGGGGGTCCGCAGGAAGCCTGGCAATCCCGGCACCCAGCAGCCAGGACATCCATGTCCAAGCTCTCCTGGGGCATATACCTCCATCAGTCAGGACAGGGTGGTTTGAACCTGCTGCCTTCTGCCAGCTCAGGGACCGCTGCCCTGTGCTTTGGGGATGGTTTTCAGGGAAAACAGACCAGAGCACCACAAACTGGTAAAAGCATCCGCACTCTGGGATAAAGCACACGCCGCTTCCTAATGATGGGAGCAAGCAAAAGTGGGACCCAGCCCCTCACCCTCACTGTTTCCATCATAGCTCCTGGTTGGGAACCTGGGGCCAGCGGGTGTTTGGGCTGCTTGATTTTGCTCCTTCCTCCTTACATGTGGGTTCTCACCCTGTGTCCCCTCCTGCACGTGTGGCCCTGCCCCGGGTCTGCCTGGCCTCAGCGCATGTGCCAGCAGCCTGTGGGCTCACCCCATCAGCTGGCTCAGAAATTAGCCTCCATCAAGTTAATTGCCAAACTGCTCAAAGCCTGGAATTAAATGTTAAAGCTGTTGCTCACCAGCACAGAGCGATCTCCCCCCTGCCCCAGCAAAAGGCAATTCCGGCTGTCCACGCGGAGCAAAGATGGATTCCCTGGCTTCGGGCAGCACTGGGATGGAGCAGGCAGTGACAGTCCCCATGGGTGCTGTGCGATGAGTCCCCAGCACAACCTGAGCCTCCAGTGCTGCAACCCCTGAGCCACGCAGTCCCTTTCCTGGAGGTTTCCTTGCTCTGGTACCAAAAGGGCTGAATAATGGAGACCCTTCCTGGGATAAAGTTCACTCAGATCCCGTCTCTCCTCATCTCTGGAGGGTGGGAGCCTCCGAGGGACACTCTGAGGTCTTGCAGTGCCAAAGCGCCCGCTGGGGCCATTGCTCAGCCCTGGGGGATGCTCTTGCTTCCCGAGGACAGACAAACCCTTTCCCACTGGAAACACATCACCTGAAGCAACAGCGAGGCGTGCCAGGGCGCCTCTCGGCTCTGACCATCTTCTCCTTGGCCTTGCAGTGACAGGCTGTCCCGCAGGGGAAATGCATCCTGAATGGGGCTGAGGCCCCCTGCGTGGGAATATGCAGCCTCGGCACCGCAGGGGCAGCACCAGGGCAGCGGCCGGCGTGCGGCGGCATGGTGGCAACGTTCAAGATCGCCGTGCTGGGAGCGCAGGGCGTGGGCAAGAGTGCCATAGTGCGGCAGTTCCTCTACAACGAGTTCAGCGAGGTCTGCGTGCCCACCACGGCCCGGCGCGTCTACCTGCCCGCCGTCGTCATGAACGGCCACGTCCACGACCTGCAGATCATGGACTTTCCCCCCATCACCGCCTTCCCCGTCAACACCCTGCAGGTAGGGGTGCACCGGCTCCGTGCGACGGGACCTCCGCGTTGTGGGGTCTCCGGTGACCTCTGTGGGGTTTCGCTGTAGAACCCTGTGGGATCCCGGTTCCTTCTCTTCAGGGGATGCTTCTCCCTCCACTCGCTAAAGCTGGTGTGAGGGATCGCATCCTCATGGC